TTATAATCCAGTCTGTATGTATATACAAAGTGTAAGAAGCTTAATTTCTACTTTTTAACTAAAAAAAATCTATCGCTAACAACAATTCAGAATCAATTTAGGAAATGACTTTGTTTCTCTAAGCATCTAAAAGCGGATATAATTTGGCATTTATAGGCTCTTGGGCTTTTTTATATGCAATTATAACACACCGAATCACATGGTTTATCTACATAACTACGGATAAATAGGCGATCTCGATTTTTACACCAATATTAAATTCTCATATTTTTTTTATTTGCTAGTTAATAATGTTAATAATGTTAATTGTTATAAAACAAAAAAAAATGGTTTATTTGTTCATAAACGCAACATTTGTTCACTTTTGTTGCACTTTTTATGCAATCTTTTAGCGTAAACAGGTTGATTCAAAAGTGTCGGGCCAATTCTCGAATGGTGTCAAAATAAGACTATCAGTAAGCATAAAAATGAATAGACTTTTTCAAGCCTTTTTTGAGAAAAAATAGAACTGACAATTTTTATATTATCATGTAGGCACCTTAAGCTCTTTTGTTCCCAATGTAGTCGAATTCAATTTATTGTTAAATTTGCTAGTTTGTGCACCATAAGACACAAATTAGTGACTCTTTTTAACAGATATCTGTTTAATGTTGTAAGGTCTACCGTTTCCGCTAACTAAATTCAAGAATACATGCTCTGAACGAGCAAAAAATTTAACCCAAAATCTAAACTTTGAAAGGCTATATCTCTTAAAAAAAGACTCAAAAAATGTTTGTTATGGAAACTTTTAACACAGTTGGATGTCTTTTACCACCACCTAAAAATTGATCCAAGACTTTGAATCACCCTGTATAAGAGCATTGACTACTGTCACTAAAAATAAAAAACAAAACAAAACACAATGAAAAATATTCTTTTAGAAAAATACAAAATAAAAAATAAATTTATATCTTTTGTAAAACCAGACTCTTATTTTAAGTATGGCTCAAGCACAATCCCAATTTGATTATATTGAAAATTTTAACTCGTTTTCGATGCTTTGATAAAAAATATGTCAATTATAAAATAACATTTTGATGTCTACTATTGTGCAACAAATTTTCTACATTAAACGACATTTTTGTCGCTTTGAGTGGGTTAAAAAGAACTAAACTCGTGATTGCAGTTTTCTCAGTGACATAATCTTCAAGCAATAAAATAGCACTTCGATTAATTAACCCATTGCTGCATCTATTAGAAATCAAATTTCGAGCGTCAACATTTCACTCTCTACGCCATAAAACTCTCATCTTTTGAGCCAACATCTGTCGTCTTGATGTATTTTCGCAAATTCTTTGGAAGTAGGTTAAAAACCTCTTCATCTCTCAGATAAATCACTCGACTGGACTCGAAGAATACCTAATGCAAAAATGTCAGGTTATTTCGGCCCGGTAACCCACATCTCGAGGCGGGATTTGTCGAAATATTCATGTGGTCGTCTGCGACTGGACTCGGACAATATCAAAGATTTTAATAGAGCGTTAAGCGACGAACACACGCTTCTCGCGCATAATATAAAAAAGTCGTGAGCTGGAAAAATAGAGCGTTGGATTGAGTTACCGTTGGGATAATGGGTTTGTCCCTTTTTCGTTTTTACATGTAACTGTAAGCCAGAATGAAATAAAAGGACGTTGGTGTTTTTAACGGAATGTCGGGATTTTTCGTGGCGGAGTCATTTGGGAGCATCAAACTCATTCCAAGAAAATTCGATAAAAAAATAAGTCACCAATCGGAGCTAACAGGCCTTTCTAATTGTTACCGATTACCGTATCTTAGGTTTGGGGAATTATAAATGTTGAGTGGAAACTCGATCGCCTTGTAATGGACATTTTTTCCGATTTTACTGGAAACAATCACTTTTGCCGTCAATACTGATCTAATTGCAGCTATTCGAAAGCGAAATGACATTGCATTCTGTTTTTATGCCCCGCTACCGATCCCAAACTTTGACAAACATCCTCACTCACAACAAATTTTTTGGTGTAAAAAATTATTGAAATCCTAATTCAAATTTAAAAAGAAAATAGTTATTTTTAGCCAAGTTTGAGAAAGCGAAATACATACTTGATAATTGCCTAATTGGGATGTTTCCCGATTTTCGAAAAGCAATTGCAATAATCAGAAATGTTGCGCTCCGTTTAACACTTTATATTGAAAGTGTCTAAACACGTAACTTCACATCTAGTTTATGACAGCGGATTGTGATGTCAGATATTATTTAATTAACGTTCGTTTATTGCTCGAATTGGAAATAATAATATACCAATTGAAAATGCTTCCGTTGTGGCTACAAAGTTTGTTCAACTTTATAAGTACAATAAGCTATAACAGTAGCGAAAAATTAAGAAAATAATCAASTTTAAAATRGCAACGATTGTATAATTGCAACTTAGGCAAATTGAAGATGTAAATTGTCTTGTTCAAGTTATTTATTACAGACTCTATTACGAGTAATGGAACTAATGGTCGACCCCGAAACAACAACTTACGAAACTTTTATTAATTTTTATTTTGTTATTGGTGAGTAGCTTTCGATTATTTCTTCATTTCCATATTTTAATAAAAGGTTCATTTTAATAATTTCCTGCACTTGTGGAATACTTGAATATAGATAAAAGACTATCGCTACTCTAACCTTTTAATGTTTCATTGAAACTAGAGTTGAGTATTTTAAAAGGCTTTATTGCTCCGTGACCGTTACCTCAAGTTCCAAACGTGTTAATCAGAGAATGGCCGATATTGAACGCTTTTCTCGAATATTCTGAAAATAATTAAATCTAGGATTATGGCACACGTTCCTCAAAACACAAATAAATCGTAATTAAGCATGTCCGTATTTTTCTATTTATTCTTTGACCAAAATTTCTGGAAAAAACGTTGAAAGATTTCAGGAGGTGGTTTCTCAGGTCAAAATAAGGGACCTAGAGCTGGGATAGCTCGACCTTTTATGAAACCTTGTTAGAAATTAAAGGGTGTACACGGTTTAAAAAAACCTCGTTTTTCTGGGTACGACGTACGGAAATAACACAGGAAACATTTTTTGAAAAGAATTAGCCAATAAATCCAAATATATTAACAAAACAAAACCTGTATGGTTTTTAACATGATTATTAGCAAAAACAGACAAATGATAAATCTTTTAGAATCATAAAATACAAACTAGAAAAATGTATTAACAGGACTAATACAAAATTGGAAAATAAGAATGTCAATAAATTTAAAATTCAAAAGTTATTGTTATTGTTTGAGTTATTGTTTCATTATTTTTTAAAATTGTACCTATAGATGAAAAACCGAAGAAAAACGAATATCATAAAACAGTTTTTGGAATTGCAGTAATACCTAATCCAAATCCAATCACAATTTTATTGCTTATTTTCATAGGCAGTTATTTCTGTTAATTAAATTAAACATATAGGCTGCAAATATCTCCATTCACTCCACTCGAATACCGAAATCTTGTTTTATTTTCCGACATACATTTATTTTTATTTTTGCTTTATGCAAAACTATTCGGAAATAAAACTTTCTTGCTAAAAATTCAGGTTACCGTTCATCATAATTATGGTTATACACTGATGACTCTTGAAATCTATTTCCTGATTTGTAACATCGTGTTGCATATTTCATACTTTTGCACCTACACACGAACAACGATTCAAACAAGTGCATGCAGAGAATTGTAAATCCTGGGTAATTGTTATTTATAGAGTGTAAAAGCGGTTTATGGTCAACATTGTCTTACTAACGAGTATCTACCAGATGCAAGACTATAGGATATTTTAATCTAAATATATTTACGCTTACAAATTTATCTCAAGTTCAATGTACTGGAATTGTTCCGATTTACTTGAAGCAAATTTTTCAAACCGATAATTTTTTCGAGTACTTACTATGAAAACACACTTGCTTTTATAGTGAATTCTCACAGTAAATTACCACGGATCAATGCTTTCCTATTTCCTCATTTTTAATTAGTGTATTTATCGACTATTTCCTCTAATACTGGAAAATCATCGATCAAGTCAAACAAAATTGGTTTAATTAAGCACGAACCGAAATAAATTATATCAAAAATTGATAAATTGCTCAAAGTCCAGTTTCTACTTTTACACAAAATGAAACATTTTTATCGTCTCTGCCAACGTTTTTGTTTTATCTTTTTTTCATCTTTTCATAAACTTCGTAATTATAATAATTAAAATGGTATTATTTGATAGAATTGTACGATTATAGACATTATGATTGTTTTCGACAAAAATGTAATTTCAGATACAGATCGTGACACGTGTTTTTATGACCTTAAACAAGATCACCGAGAGAAATTTAATTTCATTGAAATGAATTAATTATATTTCTAACGAAAAAAACCCAATTCGTGAGAGTTGCAAAATTATCATTAGCTGAAATTGTCAAGTTGACAATGCTGTAAACCTGACAATAAAAACACTTTCAATCACTCGGCCGGTAATTAGATTTATTTCGATTTAATAGAACGGAAATCGAAGTTTTGTCCTTATTGGACGAGGTGAAGAAACTTTGAAAATCTGAATCGTACAATTTTCTGGTCCACTCTGTAGAAACTGTGATAAGCGGACACGGTTCAGAAATTATTATTGCAATCGACTTTCCTTTATTGGCAGTTTTTACGAAACAGAAACGTGGACCGAATGGAAATTTGTTCGCCGAATGCGCAACTTTATTTATAATTGAAAATTTTTAATGAAAATATTGGATCAGCGAGATTCAACTCGCTTTAGATATTGTAAGGGGGCAAAGGTTGGCGATAATTTATTTTTGGAACTTTGTTTGAGTGAATTTTTGGAATTAGAACAGACCAACTGAGCGCACTGTATTTTTAGCAGATGCACAAGGCTTATTATTGGTTTGTGTAAAATCCCGGTAACGGCAGGTAAAAGGGTGGATTTYTGAATATTGCCCACAAAATAAAAAATACTAACCTTGCTCGAATTTATTCCAAAAAAATCCAGAAACACAGTCACTGAAACCCTCCACTTTCCACTCGTTTTTCAGCCGAACATTTCACGGGGATGTAAGTAACTTTTCTGCACTCAACACTTCCGTGTCCGTCTTTCACTAGACGTTTCGAATCGTCTGCACACCAGTATCTGAGAGCCCGCAATGGACTGAGTGGGTCTTACTTTCTGCACCGAGTGCTGTTTGTGCCCCACTTGGCCACCGACTCTGATACATCCTTCCTTATTACGGCTACTTACTCCTGTGATAACAACTTTCGGGTCATGAAGATTCGAAAACCCACGCCGGGAAAACTTATTTATTCGATAAGACAGGATGTGTGATACGCAATGAGGGTTTTAATTGTTGTTCAAGGTGCTAGGGATAGTTGTTTTTGCATTGATTAGTTGATGCAAATTTCCAAAATCGGGTTCAAGGATTTGGGGGAATAAAATTTTTGATAATAGCTTGAAAGTTGGTAATGGATTGCAAATTCATTTGAAAATCGTTTGTTCATCAAATGCCTCTCACTTTATGTCATAATTACAGCCTAAAATTTAATAAAGTTAAAAGGAACTTACGATTTTGTGTATACATATTCATTTATTTTTGATAGCTTGAGAAACTCGCTTAATTAAAATCGGAATTTTCATAAGGGTATTACCGAAATCTACTTTAGCGCATTTCTGACCCATATTATTTGTATTCAAATTGTATCATCCGCTTGATTCAATGTTTTAGAGAGAATAAAAATGAATGAGAAAGCTGATGAAACTTCTAGGCTCATTAAATAACAATGAAGAAAATTATACTTATTACAATGAAGATGTCACAAAGAGTTAGGAGCCATTATAGCGCAATGCTATTTTACATTTGAATTATTGCTTAAAATAATAAATCTATTTGAAGATAAATTTATTGAACACCTGTTTTYTAATTGCCGTTTCTAATTTTTTAACATTTTGCAAAGAACGTCCGACAAATTCATTCGTTAAGCTTAGATCTAGTGTTGTATTCAGTGAATTTTTACAATAACAAGTTAACGTTTAGACGCAATTTGTATATTAACTAAGTTAATTATATGCTCACAATTTACTTTTACTTAAAATTACAATGAAATTATTTTAAACTTTCTTCACAAAGCATAACGTATGTAAATGAGCATTTGTTGAATTTGATGAGTAGGTAATAAAAATTTCCCAAAAGTTTAAAGGAATTATCCTAAAATTGTTGAATTGATGAATTTTCTTCTAAAAATGCTAAAGATAAAGTTTAATTTTATGGACAAGTAATAATGTCAGTCATTTAACTACATACATATTTTTTACTATCAAAAAGTTTCTAATTAATTACTATTTCGTAATATTTATTAATGAATTAATGGTAGTACACTATTCTTACAACAATTTTATGACGCCTTTTATTTTCTGTTTCTGTTTCAAAAAATTAAAAATTAATTGTAAAAATACATAACTGGAAGAGAAATTAAATTATTTAAACTAGTTTTTTTATTTAAATTTATTAAAGGTAGGTATTTTCAGCTACCTTGTTAATAATGGGGATAATTTTTTACCTGAAATTTTGAATGTTTTTTATGTTTKAGATTTCTAAAGCTTTGGTATCACAGAAGAAAGAAACTCACTTAAAACGTTTAATTTTGGTAAATAAAAATTTAATTAGAGATGATTTTARTTCAAATTGTTGAATGATTGAAATTTTGTTTTAGAAATGGAAAAAAAAAATATTTTAATCAAAGTACTTCCAAAAATAGTCTACGGCTTTTGCTAAAAGAAGTTTTTTAGTAATAAGAGATTAAAACTATTGTTCGAGGAATAGGTGCATCATATTAATAAGTAAAGTTGAGAATAACAAGAAGAAAGTAGAAAGAACATTTGTAAAAAAATAGCACGACACAACTTTTGTTTCTTATCATAATTTTGTGTTTAAAAATTAACACTAACTTCAGTTTGTTTATTAGTGGTATTAACTGACTATGACAAAAAATTCTGTCTAATTTGTTATAATGTGCTTTTTGATTTCTGATATAGTGACCTGCAACTCAAAAAAAAATAGCTAAGTAAAGAGATAAAAGATATTAAAATTGTCAAGTCTCACATATTTTGTTTCTTTTTATTATTCAATGTTCCTAAATTAGCAGCAGAGACCACTTTGTCCAGAAATCTAATTGAAAACACGATATTATGGGATTAGAATGACTCATGTCACTCATGATGTACATACATCTTACAATATTCGTACTATAATTAAGAACAAATGAAAATTAACTGAAATTATGAACTGATCATTTTAATTATTATTTTTTTTTGTATAGACACGCTAAGGGCCGGTTTCTTAACAATGCAAAATAATTCGCCTTCTATAAATCTGCTTCATGTCTATTTTCTAATATTATAAAACACAGTGTTGTTTACAATTATTAATGGATTTTTATTGTAAACTATACATAAAGAATCACCTCTCTGAATGGAGTTATTGGCAATCAAGTAAATGACTCAGAATTTCATAATAGGTATGTATTGTCGTATTGTCTAATATTATACCGTAGCAACAAAATGTAAGCTTGATCGAAAGAAAATAAAAGCTGCGTTAGGGCTTGAATTTTGTATTTTTATGACAAAAACAATTCCTTAAAATGTATACACGGTGTGTCAAAACTCGCGCTCCAGAGAAAAATTTCAAGTAAGATAAGAACACCAGGAACATGGAAAAAATTGTATATCTTTCATTTATTTTTTGACATTTGACATTTTTTATGTCTATTTAATAATACTGATGATTTTGTATTTGTTTTTTTATAATTATTTAGTAAAGGTACAAAAATTTTGCCAATAAAAGTTACAAATAACATTAAACAGAGTTACAATTTAGGATACAGCTTCCTTGTTTCCTCTTCTAATAGCATGTAGCAAAAAAACGCAAAGTTATTTTTCCAACAGTAAGAAATAGAGTCAAAGTGCAAAATTTAAATTCTCGTAACTTCGAAATTTTTATAGATTTTTTTTTACATTTTTTCCATGTTTCTGGTATTTTACCTTACATTTTGGCACACCTGTAGGTATAATAAAAAAGTTAAATAAAACTAAATCTAAGTAGCTTATTACAATGTAAACTTGAATTACCCAGTAAATCATTTAATTGTTCTCGTAATCAATGCAACCGTGACTATTTCACCGTTTTAGTAACCAAACGGTCACATAAAATCATAAAATAAGTGCCAAAGCCATCTGGACTACGTGGCCTGAATTTTAATGAATTAATCATACGTCTTTGTGACGTTTACAATACAAAATTGAATTTATCCATGGTTATCAGATTAATATTATAATTGCCACAAAATTTTTGGTTTTAAATATTTATTTCTCATTTGGTTCTAATTATGAAGCGCTATTTGTGTCCTTTAGAAAAAAACTTTAAACGTAATGGAGCACATCTCCATTTTCCGTTTGGTTAATTACAACTGGCCGCACGCCATGTCATTTTTTTGCACAAAAGTTGACTCTCCGGTAAATCACCAAAAATGCGGAAATTGTGATGGTGATAAGATGGAATGATGATTATATAAGAATCAACAAAAATTTCCCCAGTCAACGAACCGTTCGAAAACTAGAATGGACCATCAATTCTAATAGCGGCATTAGAGCTGAAGAAAGTTCTTGTTTTGAATGTGTGTTTTTTTTATCTAAATAAAATTGTTGTGGTGTGACGTAGTCACGAAATCTCCGAAGTTCCAGCGAACGTTTATTATATCATCAGTGAAAGTTTTTGGATTAAATTTACAAGCACAACATGTTATTCTCGTTACATAAAGTGGTGTGAAGGCATCTTTAGAAATTKTACCTGTGTTTACCACCTGACCACCCTCAAACTTACCCTTGGAATTCCTCGAAAACAGCTGCAGCCTGACCGTGAAGCCTCACCAAATCACAATGATGATTTTGACCACGAATTTTTCATTTTGTTGTTGTGGTACATACAAGTTGATTTCAATCTGACATGATTCATTACTTTATTACAAATTGCGATTTTATCATACAAAAGGGACCTCTCTTTGTATTACTAATAATAAAAATAATCCTAATTAATTGTGTTGAATTACTGTAAAGTGCCATATGGCTTAAAGACGATTTTATGCTCCACCAGTAAAGTGGTGTAATCTTTCACCAACAGTTGGATCATTATGATAAACAAGTGCCATAAATCGGAAAAGTATGCACTGAAAAACTCAAAAAATCGTCTGATTGATTTTCTTGAATGCTGAATGAGAACTTCCGTGTCTTGACGCAAAAGAACTCATTTTATTATCACCAAAGGTCAGGAAAGGCCAACATAAACCATCGATATCTAAACAATAGTTTTCAGTAATCGGTAAAATTTTCTGCGCATCAATTAAATCAAAAAACAGGGATTTACCAATATTATTAAAAGGAGTTACCTACAATAATGGTAAAAACCCAAGGTAGTAATCGGTAATACTTTCTCCTCCAACGTCAGATATTGAGTTCATTTAATGTTTGTGTAATCACATGGTCTTAAGTAACATTTACCTTAATCTTTGTTACCATCATACGTCTGACTGGACTAAAAAACCATTTTGGTGAAAATTTTGACGCATTTATGCAAGCCTATGACGTGAGTTGCTGAGAGATTGTTGAATTCTACAAGTTTTTATATAATAATATTGCCATTATTAACACTTTCTTTAAATATTTTACCAACAACAAGCAGCTAGGAAAGGTACTATATGRTACACCTGCAGAAATGGGGTTGTTCTACCTGGAATAAGGGACAAATTTTCCTGAGAAAATTAGGTTCTGTGCCCGAAGACACCGCAAGAAATTTTTACTGAGAAACGATATTTCAGTCAGTATTGGTACCGTAAATCGGGGTTACTTTGACATAGTTTGAGAGGTTTTGTCAATGTAACTTTTTTATTTGTTGCAATATTTTCTTGAAAAAATTAGCATCAGAACAATTGATCTTTTTACTTTAACAAACAAACTTAAAATTTTGACTTAAGGTCATAATTAAAAAAAATAATAATTTGGTGTCAAAGAAACACCGACTTCGAGGCTACTTTGACAGTCCCTTTAATTACGTTGAAAATTAAAGTTATGCTAGCCTGGGGGGTCTTTTGACACCTTATAACTAAAAATATGTAATATATGATCTAAATAAACTTT